GTTAAGTCTGATTGTGGTGTAGTCCTTTGATCATCTATGTTTTGGTATATGTGCTGCCGAAGTGAACACATCATCTATGTTTTGGAAGACTTGAAAAGGTTTTAACAGTTACTTTATTCATCAGTTGATTTCAGGGTATTTTTCGTTCTTTTCTTGAACTATCCCTGTAATACAAATATTTGTTCACTTAATGATATCCTGTACATTGTGGTTGTGTAGACTTTCCTCATTCTTTTTAACTCTCTATTTTTTGTATGGGTTATTTCAGGGATCCGGGATTCTGTTTCCTAGTCTATTATGTTGATGCTTTCAATTTGTATTTTTGAACAATTTTTCCCTCAAATTCCTAATTTTAAATTATTGCTATCTCTGTCTTGGATTTGTTTTTTTAACGATTTATTTATTTATTTATTTATTATTGGAAAGACAGAAGAGAGAAGGGGAGACAGGGAGGAAAGGTCTTCCACCTGCTGATTCACTCCCCAAGTAGCCGCAACAGCTGGAGGTGAGCCAATCTGAAGCCAGGAACTTGTTTCAGGTCTCCCATGCAGGTGCAGGGTCCCAAGGCTCTATTGCTTTCCTAGGCCACAGATAGGGATCTGGATGGGAATTGGAGCAGCTGGGATACAAACCAGCACCTATACATAGTGGGCTTATTTCGAGTTATTTTCATACATTTCACAGATTTCCTTCAAATCAGCATCTATTTCTGAAAATCTAATGTGTTCTTTGAAAGTGTCATGCTTCTTCTTCTTGCTTGGTTCATCCCTATCTTGTCATCTACATGTATGGTTAATATTTTTTTTGTTTGTGGAGTAGGTTTCACTGGAAAATATTTTTCTTTATGTTGAATTTGGCATATCACTACAGGGTTAACTTTACTCAAAAAAAAAAAAAAAGAAAAAAGAAAAAAAAAAAAAAAGAAACCTGAATTGCCAGCATCAAACATCAATGCATCCAATTCAGCCACAGCAAAACTGTGTTAGTCTGATAATAGCAAGCAGCCATATTACCACCAAAATTCAGCACAATCAAGAAACAAGAAAATTTGCAGGGCAAAGAAATAACCCTGAATGTTTCATCCTGTAGAACTTACACAACCCTGGAAATTTCTGGACTCAAGCACTAGATCAGTGCTCACTCTATGTGATCTGTGGGAAATTCTCATTGGACTGTTAGGTCTTTGAACCAACAGCAGAACATTTAGGAATCCCAGAAAACCAGATATGAGAAAAACTCTAATTTGTGTCTCTTCACACATAGTGCTGCCTGTGCAGAGAACAAGCCTGAGTTTCACTTTTGTGGGTCCTGTGTAAATTGGAAGCAATTATCCCTGTCATGAAGCTCTGGAAATATTGCTGTTGGTAGTACAATCTCAGAAGCTAAACCAGAGGCAAAACAGCAGTTGAAGTGATATGCCAAATTCTACATAAAGAAAAATATTTAGAATATTTAGGCTTCTGGCTTCACATCAGCTTAACTCCATATATTGCAGCCATTTAAAGAGTGAGCCAGCAGGTGGAAGATTTTTATTTTTAAATTTTATTTCTTATTATTATCATTTTATCGTACAGTTCTACAGGCCCTGTGATTTCCCTTATCCCCTCCCCAATTCTCTCCCCCCTTACTGAGTTCCCCTTATCATTATTACAGAATAGCTCTTCATCCTATTGTCAAGATATAGCATCCTATTGTCAAGATATAGTAAATAGTTTCATTAGGAGTCCATGTTTGATCTGGAAGTAGAGATGCATACTGCTTTGTATCCTCACATCTGGATCTGATAGTCTCCATTACACAGTTACTGTACATCCCCTTATATGAAAAGTCACAAAACAAACTCAACAACAGGGAAAAGAAAGGAATTTACAACACCATGAATTTAAATAACATGCTACTAAATGACTAATGTGTCGCTAAAGAAATGAAAATCAAGAACCTTCTTAAAGAAAATGATGCTATTGTATGATCTATGAGTCATTGAAAAATTTGATTAAAAGTGTTTTGAAGAGATGAAACTAAAAAAAATCAAAATTCATGAGATATAGTTTTTGCAGCTTTTGTTGGTGAAATGTCTCCTGTAGGCAACAAATAGCTGCGTTTTGTTGTGTTAGCCCAATCTATCACATTTGATTGATGAGTTTAATCCATTTGCATTCAGGGTTAATATGAATGGGTAGTAATTTGGTTCTGTCATTTTAGCAATGGGTTGTTCATTGATTTAGTCTTTTGTTATTTTACTGAGATGTTCTTCACATTTGCCTTTGGTTTTGGTGGGCACTATTCCTTTTCTCTGTCAGGAGACCATCTTAAAGTATCATTTGTAGGGCAGGTTTGGAAGAGGCATATTCTTTTAATTTTTCTTTACTGTGGGAGAATTTTGTTTCATTTTCAAAGACAAAGGAAATCTTTCCTGGTTACGTTTGTCTGGGTTGACAATTTTTTGCTTTTAGAGTCTGGAGTATGTTGCTCCATTCTGTTCTGGGCTGTAGCATTTCCTGTGAGAGATCCAATGTGAGTTTAATTGGCATTCCTTTATATGTCAGTTGACTTTTTTTTCATCTGTACATTTAAGGATTTTTTTTCCTAATGTTTGATTGAAGAGAGCTTGGTTATCATGTGTTGTGGTGAAGATCACTTTTTTTTTAAAGATTTATTTTATTTTTATTGGAAAGGCAGATATACAGAGAGGAGAGACAGAGAGGAAGATCTTCTGTCCAATGATTCACTCCCCAAGTGAGCGCAACGGCCGATGCTATGCTGATCCGAAGCCAGGAGCCTCTTCCAGGTCTCCCACGAGGGTGCAGGGTCCCAAAGCTTTGGGCCATCCTTGACTGCTTTCCCGGGCCACAAGCAGGGAGCTGGATGGAAAGCAGGGCCGCCGGGATTAGAACCGGCACCCAGATGGGATCCCGGGCATGCAAGGCGAGGACCTTCACCACTAAGTTATCACACCAGGCCCAGAAGATCACTTTTGATCAAGCCTGTTGGGAGTTTTGTATCCCTCCTGGATGTTGTTTCTGAATTCTTTCTCCAAATTAGGGAAATTTCCCCTTATTATTTCATTTTATACATTTCTGCACCTTCTGGGACTCCCATAAGTCTTAAATTAGGCCTTTTAGTAGTTTTCAGTAATATTCATTGTGCCTCTGTCTCTTCTTTTGCTCTTGGTCATTGTACTTCTGGTTATCAGATTTTTCTCCTTGGGGTAGGTTTCTAAGCTGTGTCACCCACAGGTCTACAGTTTGCTTTTACTTTTTGCAGCGAGTACATGTCTTTTTGTTTGCAGTCACTTGTGCCACTCCCTCCAGTGAGTTCCAGGTCTGGGTTCTTACATTAGATTTCCACCATGGTCTCTGTAGTCCCAACTCCTGGCTTACCAGTTTCCACCTCCTGTGATACTATGCTGAGGCTGTACCATTGACTGTTCAACCTTTCTCCCAGTTTCAGTTGAAGCAGTTCCCAATATTAGGGAGACACCAGGTGTCCTATATAGCTAGGTTGTTTTTGGTGCTGACCTTGTCAGAACCTGTTGGTTGTTCTGAGGGCCACACGGACCTATTTTGACCCATATAGTACCCTAGTCAGTAATATTTTCCTGTGGTATCAGTGCAATGCACTGAACTCAGTGAGTTCTCAATGAGCTCAATGCATGCACAGCTCACTGTTGTCCTTGCAGTCTTAAAGTTTTTCCACACTGTACAAAATGGCACCTGATATGCCTCTACTAGAGTTCTTGATTTGCTGGCCATCACATCTGAGGGCTACCTGGACCTATCTTGGGTGAACTCTGTAGGATGCCACATTGTAGCAGTTCACTGAGCCAGAAATAAGTTCATTCCCCGCTCAGTGCATGGGCAGTACTGTCCCACAGCCCTTGCCTCCTTAAACAAAATGGTGCCCAATTCAGCTCTGGGGGTGGGGCAGACTGGTCTGTAAAACCCACCCTGTTCTCACACTGCCCATGTGGGACCTACTGCTCTGTCTTTGCTCCTGATCAAATCAAACAGATCAGCAGGACGTGCAGTTCTTTGTCTGGGTTTGCTTCCTGAGCTTCAGGTGAAAGTTCCTTAGCATTCCAGTTTGTCATTTAGTGTGCTAAAGAAGAGTCCGATTTAGAGCCTGGTGAAAGAGTTTAGTCGCTAAATCCTTGCCTTATATGCACTGGGATCCCATGTGGGCACTGGTACATGTCCTGGATGCTCCACTTCCCATCCAGCTCCTTGCTTGTAGCCTGGGAAAGCAATGGAAGATGCCCCAAGGCCTTGATCCTCCATATGTCACGTGGGAGACCCAGTACAAGCTCCTGGCTCCTCGCTTTGCATTGGCTCAGTTCCTGGCCATTGCAGCCACTTGGGGGTGAATTAGTGAACAGAAGATTTTTCTCTCTGTAGCTCGTCTCTGTAGATCTGCCTTTTAATAAACATAAATAAATCTTAAAAAAAGAAAAGGGTCCAGTTTAGAAAGTGTTGACTTCTTGGATATAAGCATTTCATGGTGGGCCAATAGAAAATTTGCCTGGATATTTAAGCCAAGTTTGTGTGGAAGCTGGGGAAGAGGATAGGATGTCGTTGAATCAGTCTCACTTGTCTAAAAGCTTGCAATATACCAGTAAAAAAAAATTAATCTTTCACAGACTCAGTTTGATGGCTCATTGAGTTTGAAAGGCATGATACATTTTGCCCTCCAGACAGTGACACAGTATTAAGATTAGAAAAACCTGAGAGAGGTAGGTAAGATTAGAACAGCTTCTCAGCGTCTGGTTGGTGTCCAGTCTAATCCATGAATGCACACGTACATTGTGCTCCTTCTCCGTTGTTTGTGCCATCTGTGAAATATCTGCACAAGCAGAGAATTTCTGCTTTCTGTTCATTGTGTGATTGGTCCCTTGGGGCAGATTTTTGCTTTAAATGCTCTAGTATGGGTGTTAGCCCATGATATACTATGTGGATTGTGATCATTGATGTGTCTTCAATCTTGTATGTTGTTTCTGATTTCAGAATACAATGCTGGGAGTAGTGATAACAAAGGAAGGAAGCGAAATTGCAATCGCCTCCAGGGTAATTATGGCAGGGAGAACCTTCATGATGAGCATGGTAGGTATGAATGTGCACCTTCACAACGCCAGGACGGTGATGAATCTGTGGCCATGAGGGATGTACACCAGGAACAGCAGTTAAGACGGTATGTGGCTCGGGAGCTGATTTGCATCAAACACCTCCTGGAAAAATACAACTGTTCAGCTTTTTGTTGCCCTGATTTTTATTCTGTGCTGAGAAGTTGAAAGAATGCTGAAAATGGGAAGTCCTGCTTGAAGCCCTGCTGTCAGTGATGGGAGGGATTGCAGAAGACTGTATAAATGCGTATGGAACCTTACTTCTATCCCTTTCCTCAGAAATCCCAGTGTTATGAGATGCAGCAAGAGGGGGAGACTGAATGATAATCGTGACCGGATGGATATGTGCCCATATAAAAAATGTTCAGAGAGAGAAATGAGGGAGGAAATAGAGGATGAAATGTCTCCATGCTGGTTCAAGGTCACAGTGAGTGTCTTATCAATGTCTTTGTGGGGAGATAGAATATTCTGAAGAATCTCATAGAGGGAAGAGTGCAATGAAGAGCTTAAGGTGACTCAATGGGGGAGAGTTTATGAATGGAAAAGGAAGAGAGGTGTGTGAAGCCAATATTTGGCATAAAATAAGAAAAGCTGTCATCAGTTCTTTCAGGATTCCTTTAAAGCCAGCTAGAATATTCCAAAAGAATATGTAGTTAATTGTGTTCCCTGTTTTTAATTCTGTGGTGTCATTCAGTGGTTATTTCTGTTTTTTTACATTTAGATTCCCCATGGGAGGAACTACAACAAGACATGGCTGGTGAACTCAATCCAGAACGAATGTGCTGTCAACTTCACCCCGGTTGATGTAAGAGTTTTGTGAAAACAGATGGGTGGGCATAGTTGGGAGAAAAGGCTTTTGCTCAGCAGAGGCTACTAACCTATGAGTGTTGTTTTTCCTTTGTTCCCCATAGTTTCATTACAGCCACAACCAGGCCCGGTTCTTTGTGCAGAATTCTATCACTGCATTTGCACTGAAGAATGTGAGCCGCAAGATTTGTGATAATGAGAACCGAAAGGTGTGGTGAAGACGTTGCCTGTATTGATTTCCAGGGCCAGGGGATGATATTTCTCCTTGGGATTAGAGGCCCTGGTGTTTACCATCACCTTCCTTTCATAGATACCTATTTTTGTCCATCGCTCTTCTGTACCCTACTCTGTGAAGAATCAGTTGAAGCCAGAGGAAATGCAATATCTAAAGGTAATGCAGACTCCAGACATCTTTTTAAATTTACACTTCCTAGACCCATCTTTTTTCCCCAGATTTCCCTAGCACCACCACTACCTCAGATCTGTGTCTCCACCCGCCAATGTCTGTTTCTGCAGTTGACCTTGAACAAACGATATGATGCTTCCCAGCAAGCTCTGGACCTCCGAAATCTCCGCTTTGACCCAGGTACATGCCACAGGAAAATTATGAGTAGATGGGGGTAGAGGTTCTTACCTGGAAGGGAGACACGGACATGACAATTTTGGAAGGGTGTTGTAGTGATACTAGTCTTTCTGAATGCTTCTACTTCTGATTCTCTTGTCTTGGCCTCACAAAGGCTTGGTTATTCATAATATTGACATGATCCTGAATCGAAGACACTGCATGGATGCCACATTGAAGATTATTGAAGGGAATTTTCCTGAGGTGAGACCTTTGGCACAGTACTTAAATTTACATTGACGTGTAAAGATATGATGTGGAGGGAGAAACTGACTTCCTGGCGATAGATGGTAATTGTCATCCTAACTTCACCTCCCACAAAGCTGTTGTCTTTGAACTTGCGTGGCAACAAACTGTACCAACTAGATGGCTTGTGTGACATTACAGAGAAGGCCCCCAAAGTCAGGATCCTGAACCTCTCCAAAAATGAGGTGAGAAGAAGGAGGAAGATGAAATTGGGGCTGGGGGTAGGAATGAGTGCACATGCACATCAGGTAACAACAACATTCAGATAAAGGGTGAAAGTAGAGGCTTGGGTTTCAGAGTCCCAGATGTTTCCCAGTGATTGAATTTGCAGTTTCCTTTTTTTTTTTTTTTTTTTTTTTTTTTAGCTGAAGACAGTTTTTGAATTAGACAAAGTGAAAGAACTGAAGCTTGAAGAGTTATGGCTAGAAGGGAACCCGTTGTGCGACACCTTCCCTAACCACACTGCCTATGTAAGGTCAGTGATAGTTCCTGTCACTCTTCTATTGACATTCACCTCCTGGGAGCCTGATATAACCATGAAAGTGCCACCTGCAGGAAGAGGCAGGTCTGGTTCTATGGAAAGACCACAGCCCCACCTTCCCTCTGTCTCTTTCTCAGCTCTGCTTAGAGTTCTCTGCCCTTCTTTGCATGTGACTACTTGACCCAGGGAATTTTAATTTATTCTAAAGTAGGGTCCAACTCCCAGCACTGGGCCAGTAGAGCAGATGTCATGATGGCTTCAGTCTTTAGTGTGAGGAAAGAAACCCCATGTCAGTCTTGGTAAGTGCTGGGATCTTTTCTGCAGCAAAGGAAGGACCCTCTTAATGACATGTGAGGGAAGGGCCAAGTCAACACAAGACTGTGCTTGATCCACATCAGTCCATGTTACCTGCATCTGTGTCAAGGTTAAATGTCTGTGACCCTGGTCAGAACATGAAGCCCTGCTTCCTGAAGTACACCTACAGGAGGGCGTAGGTGTAGAGAAAGGGAACACATCTCTGACCAGATGGAAATGGGAGCATGTGCAAAGAAGGGCAGAGCACTCCAAGGGATCACTTTGTGCTCTTTCTTCATGATCCCCACAACCATGCAGCCGCCTACCATTCGCTTTGCTCCTTCTCCCTCCTATAATCTCCTATGTCTCCCCCCACCCACCTATCCTTGATATGCAATTACTCCCTTTCTTTTATCATCTCTATGCATCCCTCCCTCTGCCACCTGAGTCCTGTCTTACTCCCCTCCCGGATCCACTGTAATCCTGCACCATCTTGGGGGATGCACTCTCTTCCTGGACCATGTTGGACCATAGCCTGCACAAGACGAATGAAGGATGCTCAAAGAATAGCAGAGGACTGGTGTTCCTCCCAGTTACCTACTCCCTGAAGAGCCTCTCAAGTGACCTGGAGAAAGGGAATGGACACAGGGAGGAGAAGGAAGCCACAAGTCCCAGTGATACCTTTTGTTGCCCTGAAGAAAGGTGTTAGGACAATACAGATGGGAATTACCCAGGGGGAAGAAGAGGAAAGACAGTTTAGAGGTAGTGGGAGTCGCAAATAGGGAGATATGTTACCAAAACTGACAGTCACTTCATATTCTCTTTCTTATTTATTTATTTCTTTTTGTGGATTTGAACAGTGCCATTCAGCGTTGTTTCCCTGATTTGTTACGTTTGGTAAGTACCTGTAGTCATCATTCTCTCCACTTGCTTTGCTCCCAACATCCACATTTTCATCCTGATCACTCTGAGTCTTGTCCAGAAACACATTTGATTCAGAATGTCATTATTTGAGAACATTTATTATTGACAAGGGCATGAATATTTCCCTGGAAATATATTCAGTGAAGACACAGATGTGCATTTATACACAGAAAGGCAACCGATTCCATGTAATAGGAAAGTCTGCAGGGTACCATCATGCATATGCACACTGTAATCTTGTCCACAAAATTTCTGGAAGCGTTTCTCACCTGAGCTGTGACCACTCTTCCCTTCTAAGTGTGTTAATCTTCTGTGTAAACGTGTGTCATTTTCTTAATCTGCACTGCTATCTTCCTCTTCTCTTTAGGATGGCCAAGAGATAGCCTCATCCATTGACATTAATGTTGCTCCTTCTGAGTTAGTACAACCCTGCAAGGTAAGGAAGAAAGACTTGGCAATATTCGAGATGTTGCAAGGTAGGTATATCAGTAAATCCAATGTCTTGATTCCAGGAAATGCCAAAAGATATTGAAGTGCTAAAGAGTCTGGTCTTGGAATTCTTGCAGCAGTAAGTACCCCAGGGACCATAAGAAAGGTGAAAGCTAGGACAGGCATTCTACTCAAGTACAGATTTGCTCATAGGAGTTTTCAGGTCTTATGTGAAACCTGAAACACAGAGATAGCCTGTCCTCACTGTCCTCATTACTTCCTCACAGGTATTACTCCATCTATGACCATGGAGATCGCCGGAGTCTCCTCGGTGCTTATCATGAGGAAGCCTGCTTCTCGCTCACCATTCCCGTGAAATCCACGGACCAAGTCCCGTGAGTACTGCAATTGAGACATCACCTATGACCATGTAGGTGTCAGCAAGGTATACATCAGCTCTTGCAAACATCCGGACCGTCTGGATCACTGATTATTTTTCCTTGTATCCTAGGAATGGCCTGTGTGAGTATCTCAAGAACAGCAGGGATATCATGAATGCCAAGGACCCCTGTAAGCATATCATGGGGAACATGAGATGGGGGTAGTCATAGGGTCCAAAGGTCAGAGTATGGTTGTTCTGATTTTCTGTTCCTTTCTCATACAGACTTGAGAAGGCAGCTGCTTAAGCACCCAAATCATCACATTGTAGACACCCTCAGTTTGTTGCCAAAAACAAGACATGACTTAAAATCCTTCTCAATAGACATGTGGCTCTATACGGTGAGCACCTGCTTCCTCCCTCCAGCAGACCCCAGGAAGCTGGGGCTGGGTGAGAGACGAAGGAAGATCCTGAGCACCTGAGTTCTTCTTTTTCAGGAAATGATGCTCTGCTTTTCTGTCAGTGGGGTGTTTGAGGGAGGTGAGTGTTTGGAGAGTCACATTAGAGTTTCTAGTTCTCCCTTCCTCGGACTGGGCTCCCCCTTAGAACCTACCCAGACTTCTATAGTCTTACCGTTCTTCCTATTCTTCCCCTCACATTCTTCTAAAAATTGTTTAGTTAATTGAAAGGCAGAACTAAAGAGAGTATTTCCTTTTGGTGGTTCACTTATCAAATGATAATGGCTGTGGCTGGGTCATGTAGAAGCCAGGAATCAGGAGCTTCATCCAGGTTCCCCAGGTGGGTCCAGGAACCCAAAGACTTGTGTTGTCTTCCACTGCTGTGCAAACGCACTAGAAGAAAGCTGGATCAGAATTAGTCCATCTAGGAAATGAGCCAGCACACATATCTGGTGCCAGGTTTACAGGCTGTAGTTTGTAGCCAAGTTTACTGCAACTTGGCTTCAGGCTGTAGAATTTGATGATGTTAGCCCAAGTGTTTACTCTAATTCTTGGGCGGGTTATCTCAGCTCTCAGTTTCTCTACATGCAAAATTGGGCTGTATCAGCCATGTTTTGGCCAGCTGTGAAAGAGGAATCAACTGCATTTGTGAAGTAGCTTGTCCTATGTGAGCGCTACTGACAGTTCATTCCTATTGTCACCCTCCCCATTCCTGCCTGGCTGTTCTAACACCAAGTGAACATTTGTTTCATTCTCAGTGTAAGATATAGATAAAATGTGGATTGGGCATGGTGTGTGAGTAGGTAGAGCATGTGCAACTCTAAGGGATGTTTTTGTTGTTATTTCAATAGAAAGTGATTCTCAGGATTCTGCATTCGAATTCACCCGGACTTTCACTGCTGTCTCTGGCGACAGTTTCAGGTATGTGTTGCGTCACTGGCTGGGAAATTGGTTCTTCCCTAGGCTAGTGTTGTGGGAATGTGGTGGTGTAGCATTGAGAATTTTCTCAGTGTTGGGAGGGGCCAGCAGCTGATCCAAGGAGCACTGTGGCTCAGAGATTAAGAGCACACACTCTGGAGTCATAGGGGTACTCTTCTTGACTCCAACACAGTTTTTGTGAGGTTGATTAATTATTTGACAAATATATAGTCAATATCTTTCAGTAAATGTAGCTACCCCCTTTTAGTATCATAAAAATGCATTGAGGCTATGGCTATAGAAAAACATTGGTGATACACAGCCTTTCTGAATGAGTGGATAAAGTACATGCCATGGATCTTAGGAAGCAGGAATAGTAATGATATGCAAAGAATCCAATTGTTGTTTAGTAGTGGTTATGGAAGATGCTTGTGGTGTGAATCCAGGGATATCCACTTTTGCGGTAGTTTGAGTACACATTTTTTCCTTCCAGTCTACGCATTGTGAATGACCATTTAGTTGTGAGTGGCATCAGCACCAGGACACCTCAAAGCACAGTTTCAATCCCAGAAGACACACCGAGCTCCAGTTCCATTCCCATCCTCTCAGAGTTGCAGCAGCAAATGGTGCAGTCTTTCTCCACACAATCTGGGATGAAATTTGAATGGTCTCAAAAGTGAGTATTAGGTGGGCATGGGAATAGTGAGCAGTTGGGATAGCAGGGGTATGCAGAGCAGAAACACCTTTACAATTTGCAGAAGAAACTATGCAATTATTTTCCTTTCATATAAAAATAATGGATGTGAGAAAAAGGTGTTATACTCTTATGCAGATATGTGGGAAGAACTTTTAATTGATATAACATTAATAAATAAAATGATAGAACTTCCAAATGGCATGTATTCCAAATGGAAATTCAGAAGGCATCCACCAGAAGCTGGTAGAACTAACCAATACTTTCAGATAGATTATAGGCTACAAGGTCCATATACAAAAATTCATTGTACTTCTGTCTTACAATGATCAATCAAAACAAGTTTCATTTTCAGTAGTACCAAATGCTATATTCTAAAATATCTAAAAATATTTCTGAAATAAGCTAATGAAATGAAAGATATAAATGAAAGTATTGCATCTGAAAAATTGGAGTACGTAATTGTTGTTAATAAAACAATTACTTCCAAGTGGAATATGAAGATTCAGCGCACTCTCTCAAAATTAAAAGCTGCTTTTAATAAGAGAATGAAACAGAATGAGACATAGTATCACTCATCATTCATTCACGTATCTGACTAGAATATATGAAGAACCTTTATAACTCAACAATAAAATGACAATCCAAATTTTAAAATTAGAAAGTTTGAAATGGGTGTTTCTCCAAAGAGGATATATAAATATCCTACAAGAACATGGAGAATTCTCTCTATCATTAGTCATTGGGGAGGTATAAGTAAAGATCATAACGAATGTCACCACTTTGTACCAACTAGGGTAGATGAATGGATAAAATGATTGATACCAAGTGCAGATACTAACTGTTGGTGAGGATTTGGAGAAATTGAAATTGTATATATTAATTATGGCAATATAAAATTTAACAACTTCTGGGGAAAACAGATGAACAGTTCATTGAAATGTTACACATGAAGTTTCCATATCTTACTATACATATACACCAGAGAAATGGAAGTATGTATTCATTCAAATTCCTGTACGTGAATGTCCATAGGAGTATTATTCATGACAGCAACAAATGTAAGCAACTTCACCGATAAGCATATAAATAAATATGGCACATCGCACAATGCAGTATTGATAGTCATAAGTAATATTTTAACATAGATGAAACTTGTCATGGATGAAGCTTGATGCTAAGTGAAGGAAGCCATTCATAGAAGGTCACATATTTTGTGATTCTATTTATAAGAAATATCTAGAATAGGTAAATCTATAGAGACTGAAAACAGTCATGCTTTCCAGAGACATTGAGAAAAAGAAGTGACTGCTAAATAGTTAAGGGTATTTTCTGGAGCCAGTGAAACTGTTTGGGAACTAGTTTATAGGTTGCACAAGCTTGTGAATATACCAGAAAACTACTGAGTCATACATTAAGTGGCAGATTCTGTGTTGTATATGTTGCATCTCAACTTAAAAGTAATTGGAAGTATTTTGAATTTTCATTTGTTGTTTCCTGAACTTCTGTGCTAAGATTCCCTTTTTATAAATCCTACTTTTATTGGAACAATCTTCCGTCTGTTGTTTCACTCCCCAAGTGGCAGGAGCTGAGCTGATCTAAAGCCAGGAGATAGGAGCTTACTCAGAGTCTCTCACAAGGGACTAGAGCTCAGGGACTTGATCAACCCTCTGCTGCTTTCCCAGGCCACAGGCAGGGAACTGGATGGGAAGTTGTACAGCCTGGAAGCAAACTGGTGCCCATATGAGATCCTGGTGCTTTATAAGGCAAGGACTTTATAACACTAGGCTATCACACCAGGTAGTCCTTGTTGTTTTTAACACCTACTTTTTTTTCTGTTGCTAATTCCTTTTGTGTGAGTGTTAGTGACAGACACTGTGGTTTTTCTAAAGTTCTTCATAGTGACAACAGTACTCATTCTGGCATATATGTCCTAGTGGAAGAGTGGCATGGGTGAAGGATTGACAGAGTGTAACTGGAATTTGTTTTCTGTGGAGGTGACAAGGATCACTTGTTTTTCTCCCACCCCAGGTGCCTTGAGGAGAATGGATGGGACTATACCAGAGCAGCACAGAACTTCATTAACCTCCAGGTGAGGTCTGGGGAATGAGTGCGTATAAGACGAATGCATGCCTCTGAACCTTCTGGAAGGTGGAGGCCATTCGACTTGCTGATAAAACTTTGAATTGCTGACTGTTGTGATATCCTTGTTCCTTTCATCCATACGCAGGGCTCAATTCCAAAGGAAGCCTTCAATCAGAGTACCTAAATGGAACCCTTAGATATCATCTTCATCTTTATCCACATCATCTTTAGTTCTTTTTTCTGCTGAAGTCACATTCATGACTAGAATTGGAGACTTTACCATCTGGGATGCAAGAGTTCATTAAAAACCATTCAAAAACACATCTCTTTCTTGTTTCCCTACTCAATATTGCTGTTTATATTTACAATAAAGAGTGTTACTACATGTTATATATTGTGTGTCCCAGATTGATCTTCTGTCTTTGAAGTGAGACAGCAGGACCAGAAATGAAAGTTTCTTCTCCTCCTTGCCCCAAGCCTTTCTTCCTGGCTTTCTCTAGCAGATACATCAAAGTTGCCTCCATGGGTGATTTGTGAGTGAATTCCAACTACAGGAATGCAGGTGACTTCAAGGGACTGCCTCATTGTGGCATGACAAAAACAAAGGCTTTGAAGCAGTTATCTCCTGTCTACTGAGGACTAAGAAGCTGGGAATGAAGCAGAATGAAATAGAGGGGAGGCAGAAAGTATATATATATATATATATATATATATATATCTCACTACACACACATACACATATATATGTATATATATACTTGCTTTTTTGAAAGTTGTCAGAGAGAAAGAGTCTTCCATCCTTTAGTTCACTCCCCAGATGGCCATAGCAGCCAAAGCTGAGCCGGGATCCAGGATCTTCATCTGGGTCTCCCACATGGGCACAGCGACCCAAACGTTTGGGCCATGGACTGCTGGTTTCCCCAGGCCATTAGCATAGATCTGGTAGGAAACAGAGGAACTGGGATACAAACAGAAGCTCAATAGGATTGCCACTGCTCCAGGCAGTGGTTTTATGTGCTACGCCACACCACTTGCCTCAGAGAAATATCTTTTAATGGGTATTTCTCATTTATAACATTTGAGCATTTTAATGAACTGTTCAGTTTTATGCTATAAATACAGGTAAGTAGTAAACAGGCCTTTCATAGCTCTCGTTGTGATTGTATAAGTCTTTAAAACACTGTTGTATTTGCGGGTATGATTTGGTTCAGCCTAATTGCCAGTGCAGTCTTCAAAGAGCTGACACCATATGCTCTGTCTTAAGGTAGATCTGCCAGTCGTTTGCACTTCCAGATAAGAATAGTAGCACAGAATATCACACTCTGCCCAGTTCTATGAGATCTTCCTCAATGGTTGGCAACTGGTAGTACAAAAGTGCAGGCAAAGGTTGAATGGGACACTTGAACAAGCTATTTTCTACACTTGTGTAATGCATGCACTTGTGACAACAGGTTTGAATAGTTTTTTTTTTTTAATAGCTCATTAATGTATGACCCTGTGTGAGAGAGAGATCTCATGTACTTGTTCACTCAAGAAGTGCCTGCAGAAGCAGAGGTTAAGCCAGAAGTCAGAAACACAATGTGAATCTTGAAACTGTTTCTGAAGGACTATGCTAATATAGCAATGGGGAGGGCTAGCAGGAAGGAAGGGTGGGGAAGGAAAGAGGGAAAGAATTGGGGGAAGGGAATCATACCTACAAAACTGTGTCATTGCAAATAATAAAAGTAATTTCAAAAAAAAAGATGTGTAATGGGACACAAATTCTTGAGACATGATCTGCTGGTTCCGATTGTGTGCCTATACAGAAAGCTAGAATTGGATGCAGAATGGAGACTGGAGCTCTGTCACTCCTTTATGGGATACAGAAGATTAAAATGGCAGGTTACAATTCTATAAATCATGACACAATTGACATGCTACCACTTCACAGGTTATACCTCTACTTTAATTTTTCACACAATGCGTTTCTTATACTTGCATAGTTTGTTTTTATTTTGATATGTTGTGGAGGAAATAGTATTTTAAATACTTTTTTTAATCTTTCTAAAATGTTTATTTCATGAGGTCCATATGGTGGCTCAGCAGGCTAATTTTCTGCCTGCAATTTCTGGCATCCCATACAGGGGCCTGTTTGTGTCCTGGCTGCTCCACTTCTGAACCAGCTCCCTGCTTAGGACCTGAGAAAGCAGTGGAGGCTGTCCTAAGTCATTGGAGCCCCTGCACCATTTGGGAGATCCAGAGCAGACTCCTGGCTGGCTTTGGATCAGCTCAGCTCTGGCCATCGTGGTCATTTGGGGCATGAACCAGTGGGTGGAAGAGCTTTCTGCTTGTGTCTGTAAAACTGTCTTTCAAATAATAGTGAAAAAAATCTAATAAAATCTTATAATAACTTTAAAGGCACAAAACCTACTAAGTAGTAATAGAAAAGGTTCTCATGTATTTCTTACCACACTTACATCTCATGTCAGTACAGGTATTGAAATGAATGAGCCATATCCAAGTTATCCTATTTTTTTTAACGTAAACTCCTAGCCCGCCCAACCACACCAACCTGCAGGAATCAACATCCAGGAACTAGACTAAGTTATAATCTAATTTTAGCTTCCACACAGGAGAAGAAATTAATGTTCTTTTTGTATGGCTCATTTAATTTGATGTGCTCTAATTTCATTAATTCTACTGAAGATGATAGAACTTCAGTATTTTTTTTTTTGTGGTAGAGCACTATTCTGTTGTGTTTACATACCGCAGTTTTTTTGGTGTTAAGTTTTGTCACTTGTAAATTATATAAAACTACAAATGGGATTCTCAAAAGAATAAAAAAGGGATTTATTAGTTGTTATTAAGATTGGTAAAAAAAAAATTTCATTACAAGAGCAAATCCATTGGTGCTACAGTTATTCATATTCTTTTAATGTTACTTTAAATCAGCTCAAATGTTTCGATGGTGCGTTTGCTTAGAGAAGGCCTGGGCCACAGGTACTTTGGTTACTACTACAGAGAACCCAAGATGCTAGTTGAGCCATTAGAACTGAATTTACAGAAGACAATCTAAGGAAAAGTTTATGGAAAGAAATGACAGGAAGTACAAACAGCAAAAAGACTTGAAAACCAGCAGAGAGAAAACAGGCATGTTACTTTAACCACCATTGCAGCTCCTGCTTCTATCCTGGTTCCCTGATTGGTGAACGGCATTTTTCCAGGAATACAGTTTGATGTGTAAAGTACTGGAAATGAGGAGTGTGAATGTACAATGACTTCCATATAATGATGAGAATTTTAACAGCACAAAGATGCTGAAAGTCAGCAGAGAGAACAAAGCAGGTTGAGTGGAGCCCAATGCTGCTATTTACTACCCCTAGATCTGCAACATTATCATGTCCTGAAAAGGGAAGCAGAAAGGGCCCTGACCTCTACTCCACTGTGGCAGGCAAGCAGCTGTACGATGAGAGAATTCCACAGTTCTGAACTACTTTAAGTCAAGTCTAAGGACAGACCAGACGTTTTCTTTACTTAAAATTATTTACTTATTTGAGCGGGCTGCTACCAGCTACTAACTCCAAGAAACCGAGGAAAACCTCCCCAGATCCCCCAAATGTGTAAGTCTTGTTCCTGAGATGTGCTCTGAACTTCTGAAGGTGCAAGATTCAGAGGAGACTGATCTCTTCCCTGAATTGTGCCCTTGTATGTCTCTGGAAGCTTCTGGTAGCAGCAGGGCTGCTTGTCTCATATGCAGATGGAATTTATCAGCTTCACTGCAGCAGTTGGTGCTTTGGAAATAGAGGCAGGCAAGGTGAGTTTTTTCTTTTTTGTGAGAAAAGTAGACACACAACCACACTTTCCTCTCTCTCTTGCTACTCCCAATCACTTCCTTCCTCTTCCTTCTTCAATTTTCTCCAATGCAGAATTTTAATTTATTCTATATTTATAGGCTTAAGTAGATGCAAATCATTGCTTTGAACAAGTAAGCAATAGGAATATCTCAGTTCCAAAGAAGTATAAACATAGGTTAGTAATGATAATCACATTCCAAAATTACCATTTCATTCCTATTTAATTTTTGTGTTTTATTGGATGCTTCCAAATATTAGAAGAATATATGATACTTGTATTTTTGAGACTGGCTTATTCCACTAAGCCTAATTGCTTCCACTTTTATCCATTTGGTTGGAAAGAACAAGATTTTATCCTGTTTTCATGGTTGAGTAGTATTCCATAGTGGATATGTACCACATTTTCTTTATTATTGGTAGACTTCTGGATTGATTCCTTATCTTAGATATTGTGAATTGTGCTGGAATAAGCATAAGGGGTACAAACAGTTCTTTTGTAAGCTGATTTTGTTTCATATGGGTAAATTCCCAGGCGTGGGATGGCTGACTCTTACGGTAACCTTGTGAGTGAGCAAGTGCCAGGATGTGTCTCTGGCTTCCCTCTTTCTGTAAATCTGACTTCCAGTGTATATTTGTATACACACACACACAACCCATGAGAGAAAAAAGCAAATAAATTGATTTTAAAATGGGGAAAGAATATGATATTTTCAAAAGCCAAACTAGTGGCCAATGAATATATGAAAAGGTATTCAGCATTACTAATAACTAGCAGTACACAAATTGAAACCATAACAAGATATCACCTCATTATGAGCACTAAAAGCAGGCTACTCCGATGTCAGTCTCTTGATTGACTCATATGAAAGACTTCATTAACATATAATTTCATGGGTCAGATGAATTTCCTCCTTTAGTAACACATAAATATCCTAGCCAGGTATTCTTGAACAGCAGTTTGGGATAACCACCCATATGGGGTAGACTGTCCCTTCCTGGGCAAGCCACCTCTTGCTGGCAGTTCCTCCTGGTTGCCAGAGTTTCCTCTGCTTCTCTCAGTAAATGTCCTTCCGTTTGCTCATGCCTCCCTTTTTACAGGTACCTCATTCTTCATGATCCAATGAGATGAAGAACCTGACACACAGGAAAAACCTTAGTACACAAGCCTGCAATACTCGCCACTGAGTCCAGCCAGGAGGAGAAGCTGTGACAGGAAGGGCCACAACACACAGAGTTGTGATGGTCATGGGGAGATTTGAGTGACTGAGCCAGCCTTCTGCCATTCCTCCTGCCACACTCACCCCAGAACTCCTGCAACAAGTTTCTCTAGGCATCTGAGAGTTTTGAATCTTGGGTCTAAGTCTGTAATTCCAGTTAATTTTGGTGTATGGTAGCAAACTGTATTCTTGATGCCCTTTTCAAAGGTAAGTTGAGTGTGTGTCTGTGGGGGAGGGGCTTATTTCTGGAATCCACTCTTGCATTAGTCTATGTCTATTTTAT